ACACGAAGAGAACACCACCTTAATTTTCTCGAGTCCAAAACTCCCATTTCCCAAAACAACAACTACTCGTATCATCTACTCTTCATTGCAACATCAAATACAATTTGTACCCATGCAGAATTTTTAGTAAAAAAAAACATGGGCAAAGATACATGAAGGATGGATCCATACAAAAAAACATTTATCACAGCTATCCTCGTGTCAAGAAACAGAAAAATCCCGCACATAAAACTCATCACTTACATGGATGACAGTGCACAACAGAAAGAAATAATACTGTCGTGAAGAAAGTCAGACGTGGATTAATTGTGGTGTAAAACACATTCCCGTTTAAAAGAGTGAGAATGCAAATATTTCCTCAAAAGATGGATGACATTTGCCCATTGGACTATGTTAACTTTTTACAAAAAAAATCATTATCTTATTTCCTGATTGAGAGAAACTCGAAGCTTCGAAGAGGGTCATTGCGAGTACCTTTAGTGGGTGCAGCACGAGAGAAAGATGGTGATTTGGGTTCAGTCCCAGGTTGAATCCTTTGCATGGAAGACAAATGACCAATTCTTGATACCAATCTGGGTTCACCAGAGGAACTTGGCCTGTTGCTCAAAATGGCAGCTCTCTTTGAAGAGCTTCCATTTTGAGAAGATTGGCCTTTTTCTGAATCCGGTTGCTGCAAACAAGAAAACATAACAGACCCATCGGTACAATTAGCCAATACAAGAACCCCATCTGCCATACCTTGCATAACAAAGTATCAAATAGCAGCAACAGGCTACTTGGCTATCAGACTTTAATCAGAGATAACCCACAAATCAAAATAGACCCACTTCAACTCCCAACTCCCCACTCCCCAACAACAATTGCCAACAAGAGAGAGACGAAGAAACAGAGCTACCAGGAAATTGTAATGCAAATATTACACAACATACATCTACCAAAACCTGTCAAAAATTTCTTATTCTCATAAACCGAACCAGAAGCAGATTTACGTCCCCTTCAACCAATTCCCTTTGCCACCCGAAATCTCACTCTCACGACCATAATAGTACAAATAGAAGAATGTAGGTAGAGGAAAAAATACCACATCCTTGGATGAGGGTACATCTGATGTCCTGTGTCTAGAATGTTCGCCATGCCAACCTGAACCCGAATTATTTTTTCTGGAAAAAGCTTCGACAGCACCCGAGAATCTATCTCGAATGTCTTGCCCCACTGGATAACATAACCAAATCAAACAAAAACAAGCAACAATAAATCTACAGGAACCAGCTGCATCAGTATTTTAATTTCAGTGCGAAAATACGTTAATTCAATAAAATCTTCATTTCCAGGAGCTAATTTTAGTTAAACATGTATACCTGATGTTCTTCCTGGTCTTTCGCCAGAGGTTCCAGCCCCTGCATTTCCACTGGAATTCTGGAAGCAAATGCATGAGCTAGTATATTATCCTATGAAAGAAGAAAAAGTAAACTGACAGTTATGCAAACACTTACTCGTGTTATTGAACTAGCACCAATCTGAGGATACTTCAATATAGCCCAATCAAACACATAGTCAAATTGGTAACCTGCGCCAATAAAGTCGAAATGCAGATAGAGCAAAATGTGCATGCTGAAAACAAGATACTTGACAAGGTATTCAACAAACACAGATCAGAAAGTATATCAATGAAAAAAAATCTTGTTGGTACAGATAAACTAGAAGTCGGAAACTGAGACAGAATAACATAGTTTACGGTCATTACCTTCCCGAATAAACAAGTCTCGGAAAAGCCTCTTCAAATAAGAATAATCCGGCTTGTCCTCAAATCTTAATGATCGGCAATAGTGAAAATATGATGTGAACTCCAATGGATATGAGTTGCACAGCACCTATGAAAAATTGGAATCATGTGAACTTTGTGCAAATGTTCGCAACCATCTTGGCCAAGATGACAAAACTTGGATTGGATTCAACACCCAGAAACAGGGGAAACTAATATTTAATTAAACCAAATCCACTCCTTCAAAATAAATTACAGAGAGCATAATAAAGAAAAACCGTTATGCATCTTATGCATAAATGTGCAGAAGTATTTACTTACAGTAAACTCACTTATAAGTTATCGTACGCTGAGGCCAAACATGGTCAACTACTACTTAAGGGCCCAACTAATGTACCATTTAGGAGATGCTTTGGAACACATATATTTCAAGCAGGGAATGCCATACACGTAATACGAAATCATGACATACGTACCTCTATAGGAGTTAACATCTTCTTTTCACTAATCTTGTCATATTTCTGCTTTTTAGTGCCAGCTCTAAGTCCCTGCCAGGGGAGGCTGAGATAAAAAATAAAATAAAAGAATATTCAGGAAACAATATTCAAGTAAAAATTCCAACTTGGTAGGAAAAATGCCCAACAAATATAAAGGGAAGTCGAATTCCTCATATCTACCTAACCTTCCTCTCAGGAAATACATAAGGACATAACCAAGAGATTCCAAATCATCTCTCCGGCTTTGTTCTGCCAGAAAATTATAGATGAACAGATTGAACTAAATCAGATTGCATCAAAGAAAGACATGGCCAAATACATTATTAGAAACAATTTACATACTATATTACACTACTTACCAACTCCGAGATGTGTATTAACACTGGCACAACGAGCAGTACCTGTGAGATTCTTGTTTTCCCTGCATCAGAATGTTTGAGAATTTTGCACAACAATTAAATCAAAGGCAAGGACTGATCAATAGCAAAAGAATATCAGACATAAGACACAACTAGAAATATCCAAATTTGTTATTCTCAAAGGATCCACTAAAGAGACGAAGATATATAATAAGGTTATTAGCGAGATATGTATTCAGATTATGCTGTCTTGATGCCTAGTCTAGTTGAGGCCGCAAGGCATGAAGATAGATCACCACAGGCATAC